CTGAGGAGTGAGGTTTGTGGGTGCTGGAGTATAGATCTTATTGGTGATATGGAGACTGAGGAGTGAGGTTTGTGGGTGCTGGAGTATAGATCTTATTGGTGATATGGAGACTGAGGAGTGAGGTTTGTGGGTGCTGGAGTATAGATCTTATTGGTGATATGGAGACTGAGGAGTGAGGTTTGTGGGTGCTGGAGTATAGATCTTATTGGTGATATGGAGACTGAGGAGTGAGGTTTGTGGGTGCTGGAGTATAGATCTTATTGGTGATATGGAGACTGAGGAGTGAGGTTTGTGGGTGCTGGAGTATAGATCTTATTGGTGATATGGAGACTGAGGAGTGAGGTTTGTGGGTGCTGGAGTGTAGATCTTATTGGTCATATGGATACTGCCTTGTTTGGCTGAATAGAACACTGAGGAAAAGGGAGTATTACATCATACAAAGGGGAGGATACACAGGAAAGAGGGTGTAATGCCCCTTTTAGATTGTAAACCCTCAAGGGCAGGGCCCTCCTTACCATCTTGTCTTGAATTGTATTGTGATTGTGATCCGTATATTGTAAAGCGCTGCGCAATCTGTTGGCGCTATATAAATCCTGTATAATAATAATACACAGAGAAGGGAATTTATCAAAACTGGAGCAGACAATATCTTGAGCAGCTGTGCATGGCAACCAATCAGCCTCTCTCATTCATTTTCAAATCTTAACTGAACAAAATGAAGATAGAAGCTGATTGGTTACCATGCACATCTGCTCCAGATTTTGTCTGCTCCAGTTTTGATAAATTCCACCAAGAGAAACCACAAGATGGCACCATAACAAACATTAACTTATAACAAACACACTGATAGCAATGCAACTGCTAGAGGCAGCACAGACCACACAAAATGGTTTAGCATATCACAGTCAAATCAAAACCAATTGTGGAAGCAATTATATAGTGACAGTATAGCTATGGGTAGTGAAGGAGGGTGGGGAACCTGTCAGGGAGGCTGTACAGGGCCCCATCATTTCTAATGGCAGACCTGGATACAAGTAACCCTGTGCTGACAGGGTCACCTTAAAATTAGGTGTTGGCTCTGTTAACACATATAAACAATTTTCACTTTATTTGTTTGTAAATAATCTTTCCGCTTCATCATCCTGGAATTTGATATCATCCTGCAGCCTCATAGAGGAACTCCAACATGGCCCACTTCATAGGGTACAGAGTATCAGATTATTAAAGCCCTCTTTACCATACTGGTTTAAATTGCCCAAAAACAAGAGTTCACTGAAAGACGTTCAGGAGCAAAGAAGCCAAGGGACATCAAAATGCTCCAGAATAACCCCTGACCCTACTGGAGTCAGCTAAGAAGTGATTTCCTGTGTTACTACGCTTTACCATCATATCATCTGCATTGCCTCACTGCCCGGTCTTCCAACTCGACCATTTCATCATGGACAGAATATCTCTCTACAGTGGGAAGTGGAGGTCCAGAAAAAATGAAGGCCTCATTCACACACGGGGCGTACACGTCCGTGCAGCGTGCACGCCTGTAAGCAGCCAATCCTGGGAGGGAAAGGTGATGCGTGTGATTGCGCGCAGCAACCTGTTCTTCCCTATGGGAGGTCGCGGCTGTATGGTGTCATCCCTGCGGGTACGGGTGTCCGCACTTGTACCCGCAGGGATGTGCAGTTCAGGTGTCTGTGTGCGCAATCACACACAGTACCTGTCCTTCCAGAAATCAACTGTTTACGGGCGTGCACGCTGCTCGGGCATGTATGCCCAGTGTGAATGAGACCCAACAGGGTTATTCACAAAAGGGTGAAGAGTTTGGAGAAGGCAGGAGAAGTGACCAATCTAGGACAACATAGCTGATTTGGAAAAATTATCCAATTCAGCTCACTTTCCAGTTCAGCTATGTTGTCCTAGATCAGTGATGGCAAACCTTTTTGAGCCCAAGTACCCAAACTGGATCACTAAACCAACTTATGTAACTCAAAATGCCAACCTGTACTGTACTAGGGGTCGAACGATGGATTTTTCGGTACCAAAACCGATTATTGGCCACCTTTCAGGTGATATGGATACTGGGGAGTGAGGTTTGTGGGTGCTGGAGTGTAGATCCTATTAGTGATATGGATACTGGGGAGTGAGGTTTGTGGGTGCTGGAGTGTAGATCCTATTAGTGATATGGATACTGGGGAGTGAGGTTTGTGGGTGCTGGAGTGTAGATCCTATTAGTGATATGGATACTGGGGAGTGAGGTTTGTGGGTGCTGGAGTGTAGATCCTATTAGTGATATGGATACTGGGGAGTGAGGTTTGTGGGTGCTGGAGTGTAGATCTTATTGGTCATATGGATACTGGGGAGTGAAGAGTGAGGTTTGTGTGTGGTGGAGTGTAGATCTTATTGCCTCCTCCTGCACTACATGTCCTGTGTGTGCAGGAAATCAGTGACTTCTGTAAATGTTAATATTGTTCATGTTTATATATGCACATTATTCTATATATGATAAATGGAGTACTTATATTAATGAAAATATACTCCCATTTGTGATTTATACAGAAGTATCGGGAGCAAATGGTAAATGTTATTTGTAACTTATGAAAGGTCCAGAGTAAAGCACTTTAAAATTATTTTATGCAGGACTATTGCTTTTCATATGTACATGTCAACGCTTTAAACTTGGTAATCACTGAAATATTAGTAAGTGAATTATTGTTTTTAGCATCATTTTCAGTACACCATTCAGTAGATGTGCAGCATGAGGGATTTACATCTTCAGCAATGCCATTCAGTTTAAAAATGTCTGCCTTGGAAACCAAAATGTTATTTGTGTAAGCTTAGCCCTTCAAACAAAGCATCCGGAATACAATGAACTGCAGGAGAGAACACAAGCACAAAGAAATCATGGTGATCCCAACAAAGAACACGTTTAGGCTTGCATATGTAAATCAATAACTAAATAATCCAACCCAAACACAAATCAGACTGTCATCGTAGCTGTAATATTAACTTTGGTTTATCATTTTAAAATATTTTATTTATGTTATGAAATTCTTTGTAGATAAGTGTCCTAATAAAGGATTCACAGTGTCGGAAACATTGACTATCAAACAAAAATACAAAATAATAATACTTCTTGTGAATGAATGTAGTGCAATTCTTTGAATTTCCATTCAGAGAAGAGCTCTTCTACACTAACGGGCTAGTTTCTAAATCTTCCGTCCAGCATATAGCTGGGTGAATGCCATTCGTACAGCATTACCGCCACTAGATGGAGCTGAGGAGTACAGAAAACTCCTATGCTCCTCTGCTCCATCTAGAGACAGTAAAGCTGTGCGAACGGCATTCACCCAGCTATGTGCTGGGTAGAAGATTTATAAATCAGCCCCTATGTGAAAGCATAGGAACCCCCTTTAATCTTCAGCAGTTTCCAGTGGTTGCGGGGGTATATGCAATTTATTGGGTATCTGCTATCAAGGTTAGTGTTCAGTTGGCAGATAAGCGGGGGGCTGAGGGAGGGAACCCCCAGACTCTACTCAAGGCAAAAGGGTTTCCTTACTTTAACCCCTAAGTGGATGACCCCTTCAAGTGATCCTATAAGTACCTGCACATGTGAAATGATTATTTCCAGACTACTCATCTACAGTGTGTAGTGTGCTTAATCATCAGTCATTCTCAGATCGAAGATGTTTTTACCATATGCCTCCACTATAAATGAAATATACTTTCATTTTTTTCTACATCCTTTATGTTTTTATTGAATTGTCCGAAGTTCATATCGTTTTTTATTCCACTGGAAAGCAAGTAATGGACTTCGCATTTGTCTTCACACCTTTGGCACATTTTTATGTCCATCGCCTAAAACAGAGAAAATGTTCAATGTTGATAAATATGTATTTACTATTGTGGATAGGTAATATGTACTGTATATGCTAAATGCATCTAGAAATACAGATTATGCCTGCTTTACATACATATTATTTTACCCTAAAAACTAGCAAAGCTCAACTCTGTTGATATTCTTGGGATAACTGGGGGTTACCACATCCTCTTGTTATAACATTTCATTTAGATATGTAGCGACACAGACTTTAAGGTACCCATTCAAATACAGACTTATGTATTAAACTACAACATTTGCTTACATAGATAACACATTAAAAAAGATAAAATAAGATTTTTGTGTGAAAATGACAATACATAGATTCCAATTAAATAAATTCTGCCTCGACATATCCCCATCCATGACTATTTCACATCTTTAACCTCAGGAGTATCTGATGAGGCCTTGAAAACATTTTTGGAGTCACCATCACATCACATGAAGCAGGTGCCTGGTAAAATATCCTGGGTGGGCATAGGAATAAATATCTGTATAGTCCCCCACAGAGGCATAAAAACGATCATGGATGGTTGTTATATGGCCAATCACAGAGAAAATCTGTGTCTCTGACTTGCCACATTCACATCGCTGCCAACAGTTTCCTTGTCATTAGTGGTACAGTCAGGGCAGCCATCAGGGGGGGGTACGGCCGATACTCATGTAAGGGGCCCGGGCAGCCTGGGGGCCCGCCCGGGACGCTTACATGAGTATCGGCCGACGGTGAAGAGCGAGGCCTGGCCCTAGCAGCGCTTTATACAGAACAAGGAGAGGTGGTGGTGTGTGTGTGTGGGGGGAGGTGGAATGCTGGAATTTTATGACCCATAGAGATGTGAAAGAGAACAGTGGGACATGCTGGCACTCAAACTGTAGTTGAACCAGCGTGTACTGTCATCAACAGGGTGACATAATCCTGTTGGGGCTTCTAGTTATAGCAAAACCTGGTGTTTGAAAAAAATTGTTCTGTCGTTTTTACTGCACTGCGTGTTGTCTATGTAATGTATGTATTCCATTGGAATAAATACATATATATTTTTTTAAATGACATCTATACTATATGTTCATATTGATATTTTCATTAAACTAAATCAAATTCTACAGTTTACAAGAAAGTATAGCATTAAGTTTGTTACCAATTGATATTCAAGTTGAAGATTGGTTGCCTTGGCTGGTCTAGTCGCTGAGCAATCGGAGCCGAGCATGATGCAATTGTTAATGGTCGGTCAGCAGACGAAGTCCCCCCAACAGCAGGCAGCATGCAGCCAGGTGATTGAGCAACATTGCCTCTCCCAATAGAAGGTACGTTATTGAGGGAGCCAGAAATAGTTCCATTGTAGCGTGTTGGTTTCGTGTAGAGTGAACTTTCTGGAAAAAAAAAGTTAGTTTTTTTAATATTTTTAATAGAGTTTGTAGTACATATGAGATTACAGGCATATTAATTAATAAATATATATCATATTTCACAATGTTACATAGCTAAAGAATGAAAGTCTCATAGAAGGTTATAGAAATAAACATGATATACAGTCTAGATTATAATTTATATATGACATATATAAATAGTTTTCTAAATAGAAATGATATCAGAAATAAGTACTTTCTGCAAACTAGTAATGTGACAAGCTAGTGACAATGTCACCTATAGCACAACAATGCCACAATATTTGGTTTGGGCATATATTGGATAAGAGAACTGTAAGTGGCCCAGATGCAGCTCTGAACAGATCAGCATCTGTTACTACATTATTGTTTTCCCTGTGTTTCAGATCTAGAATTTACATATGTACTGTATACAAGGGCAATGAGAACTATGAACTATGCTACTAAAGTAAGTTACAATTTAGCTGTATTGTAAGTGAAAACTGGGTCCTAGTGAAAAGAATGCCACTTCAGGCCAACTAAACGCATTGCAAGGGTTTTAGCAGACTTCACTGCAAATTTGTACCTGATTCAGTTCTGTAGAAAATGACATTGTCCAATCCAGCTGCCCTACTAAAGTAAGTGCTTATTGGAAGTTTGCTAACTATAAGTACATGGTCTGTTGTAATAACACTGCACCTATAGGCGTGCAGACTGGGTGTGCCGGGGCACACCCCAATTACCCTGAGTGCAACACCGAAACCGCAACAGTGGGCACCGTGTTTTTACTCACTGAGGCGGTGGTGAGATCACAAAGATCTCTCTGTGACCGGCTCAGTGATACAGAGTGCAGCAGCACTTGACACTTACATTCCTGGGAAGCTGCGTGGGAGCATGGCTGTGGCTTCCCAGGTTTCCCATCCAAATCAGGAAGCTGGGCGGGTGGTCCCTGTCAGGCTGTCTGATTCATTACTGCACCCCTTCTGGACAAGGTAAGGGACAGCTGTAGAGATGGGAATACAGGATGCCTCAGGTCTGTGTATGTGTGTATATATTATAAATACTGTATGTATGCATGTGTGTTTGTACTTTCGTGTGCACACCCTAATGCAATAGGATGTGCACACCTATGACTGCACTCATGACATTCCTCTCGACCACATGTGTCCAACACAAGGCCTGCGGGCCGAATCCAGCCCGCCGGGACGTTTCATGTGGCCCTTGCAACTCTCCCGCCTTACATTTTTTAAACAAAGCTGGAATTGAAGCCAGAGCTGTACACAGGCACCAGGTCCCCAGCAAGGTCCCGGCAGCATTCCTGTGAATCGTGGTGTTTGTTTACAGTGCTGGCTGAAAATCTCCTCCTTCCACGCTGCCCACACCCGCCGACCGGGACCCCACACAGCCCAGCATAGACCCCACACAGCCATTCGAAAGTCCACACAGCTCACCTTAGAACCTGCAAAGCCACCTGAGAGTCTGCACAGCCCACCATAGACCCCATATAGCCCACCTGAGAGCTGGCACAACTACACTAATTGCCATTATATTTCCTAGACTTCTACTTTCAAAGTTAGTTATAAAGTAATTACTAAAACCAGTAATAATCGAATACAGAGGCAATTATTTAAATACATTTAACTAGTCCTACAGATACAACCGGCCCTTTGAAGGCAACCATATTGCTGATGCAGCCCGCATTCAAATTGAGTTTGCCATCCCTGTTCTAGGCTTCCAGGCCTCCCTGGAGGTACTCAACAAAGATAAATGTGCAGCACAGTATACCTAAGCAAAGGATGCCCATAGTTTGGTCTCAAAACTAAGATGATTTTGTAAAGTGAAGAAATAAGATTATTGAGAATTGAGTTACATGTGGAAATTTCCTTAAATCATGTAGACAATATATTCATTAAGCCCTTAAAATTGAATAATATACGTATTTATTATGATGAATGACATGTCTATGGGCTTGATCATTATTTAAATACTTACTCTGCTCTGTCTTTGCTTTGGCACTTGTTAGCCTATTATGGCCTCCACTTTTCACTGGCTTGTTAAAGGAGTTGAGTTCATTGACGATCGCAGTTGCTCGCATTGTTTGAAACCCATTATAGGTTAAAGTTTTTTGATGTGCATATCTCCGTGATGCATAATGTGTTGGAGGTGGTGCCCCTATACCAAGAAAATGAGGACAATATCCTGGAGACCCAAAATGATTATGGTTGGATGTGGCACTTGCTTGAGCTACAGTCTCTGTGATTGCACCTCCCTGGCAGGAAACCGGGACATAGGACATGTTCCCTTCTGTATCCTGGCACATTATCAGACCTTGGTTAAACTGAGTCTGTAAGGAATAAAAGTGTGGAGGCTGTATTAAAAATAATAGCAAGTATTGCATTCGCTATGTCTGCTTAAAAATTAAGTGCTCGGATGTTACAACCACTGGACAAAACACTTGTCAAGTTGACATAATTAGAAGGTTTCTAATTGGCATATTGTTTGGAGAAGTTTTGAATTGCAAGGAAAGTTTACCTTTCCTAGACGTCCATCAACATATCTGATGGTTTTACTATAGTTTAAATACAGTGAGGGGAAGTTAGCAAAACTGGAGCAGACAGAACCTGGACCAGGTGCCTATGGCAACCAATCACATTATATCTTTAATTTTCAAGATTAACTGAACAAACTGAAGAGAGAAGCTGATTGGTTACTATGGGCAACTGCTCCAGATTCTGTCTGCTCCCGTTTTGATAAATTCCCCCTCTAGCTGAGAATGCAAAGCTATGGAGCCATATTTCAGAATAAACTATCATTCATATTTGAATACATTCTAAACTCTTTTTCATCTAAAATGGACCTAAAATCAGACATTGGCTTGATTAAAGGTTTGCTGCACCACCTTCAATACAAAAACAAACCTACCCCCATTAAATACTTACCTGTCCCCTGGGTCTGACTGGTCACTACCTCATTGACACTTTCCCTTCTCGACCCCCGGTCAGATGCAGCTAATCAATGCCTCTTGCTTACGCAGAGCACACCCTTGATGGTGGCACAGAAGTGTAAATGTCATTGAGGCCTGGATGGTCCCCTGTCCAGGAAACAGGTAAAAATGTATGGACTTTTTTTTTTTTAAATCTGACATACATTTCTACTGGGTAGTCTATATCAGATGAATGATTCCTAGGGCACAGGAAAAACTATTCTCATATGGGTACTTTGGCTTGTAAAAACATGCATCATTCAGCAGTTTACTTGTGCCTTTGCTTTCTTCTTTCATAACGACATTGTCACCACTAAAAAAATATATATATATATATATCGTATATACTCGAGTATAAGCCGTCCCGAATATAAGCCGAGGTACCTAATTTTACCACAAAAAACTGGGAAAAAGTTTTGACTCGAATATAAGCCGAGGGTGGGAAATGAGGCAGCTACTGGTAGATAGATACCAATAAAATTACATTAATATTTATTTAAAAGAAAAATAATAACCTAGCTCTGTAAGTGGAAAAGGGGGTACAGGGCTACATATCATGTACTACGGATCATTTAACCCATTCATATTAGCAGAGGATAATTGTAAATCTATTGTTCAGTGCATTCTATATGTAGTATATAGTACATGTACATATAGAGTGCCTGCAACAATACATTTACAATGATCCTCTGCTAACATGAATGGGTTAAATGATCCATAGTACAGGGCTACATACAGATCATTTAATACATTCATGTTAGTATAATTGTAAATGTATTGTCTGCACTGTATTAGCAGTATATACTCTATATAGAGTATATACTGCTAATACAGTGCAGACAATACATATATAATTGCTTAATTAATCTCTCTCTCTACCCCCTCTCCCCCCCCCTCCCCACACACACTGTGTGCCGGTGATCGGATCATCACATCACGGAGAGAGCAGGGACGAGTCAGCGGCGCGCTGGTCCAGTGGGAGGAGCTCCAGGTGGGGTCCTAATTTAGCTGACTTAGAGGTGCCTGCCCGATAAATTACAACCCCACCTGGAGCTCCTCTCGCCTGACCAGCGCGCCGCTGACTCATCCCTGCTCCCCTGCCTGACTGGCCGCTGCGGGGGTTTTTTTTTTCTTCTTACTTACCTCGCCGAGCGTCGCGTCACTGCTGCTCCGGTGGGCGGCGCTCCGAGCGGGGTCATCTGGCAGTCTCCGGCCACCTAAATTAGGACCCGGAGACTGCCAGATGACCCCGCTTGGAGCGCCGCCCACCGGAGCAGCAGTGACGCGACGCTCGGCGAGGTAAGTAAGAAGACACCTGACGCTGACTCGAGTATAAGCCGAGGGGGGCTGAAAATCTCGGCTTGTACTCGAGTATATACGGTATATTTTTTTAAACAACGCTAGCCATTGATGAATGCAGAAAGTTTGGAATTTAAGCGTCCTTTATTGGTTAACTAAAGGTATTGGGGATGCTTACCTTAGCCATTAAAGATTATCACTTAAAATCCAAACTCTTCAAATGTAAAATGACAATTAATGACAAGCCCGCATTCGCTGTATCCAATTAAGTATTTTGCTAAGTCATGTCAAATTTGTGAGTACCACACTGTGCAAGTATCCGACATCCATCATATGTTTTATGGTTCATGGCTATCACATGGTCTTGCGTCAATTAGAACTCATTACACTTTGAAAACCAAAGCCATCATTTTACCTTATGCTAAATAACATTTGTACAGTCTTCAACCAACAGCACCCAGAATAAACATGTGTAGGTGACACAGCAGAACCATCACTTATTATATAGTTATAGATTCGGCTGCAAATAATTATATAGGAGTCCATTTGTGAGGAGTCCATTTGTGAGGAGCCCATTACATTCTTACATCATAGGCACTTATTTCATACTTGATATCTTGTTTGAGCATCTAGGAGACTGTAGTCATGTGGCTTTAGGTCGTGGGTTTTGGGCTCCATAGTGCTGAACAGTCTATGCAGCAGATCCACTATACCAAGGCTTCTGATAAGCTTCGCCCTCTGCTGAAGACCTTGGAGCCTATCGAACTCCTCTTGTTCATTAATGTCCACTGGTTTCATGGAGTCTAGTTTCATCTCCTGGGTCTGGAACACAGAAAGTTATTATTTACTGACATAATTTGTATAGTATTATGGGAAAACATAAAAATTCTGATGGATATTTTACAGAATAACACATTACTAATTGTAACAATGCAAGATTGGAGAGCTATGATAGTTCTGGTCCTAAAGCGTGTCTAAAACCCAAAACAAAAATGTAATATATTTCAGCATGCCAGTCCTTAGGTGTGATGGCTGCAATAGTCCTCTTGTTTCAGGTTAAGAACATTTTTATCAAGTTCAGAAATATAAAGTTTTTGTACTAAACGTAAAATACTTTTCATGTTGTCCACTGAGGGACACAGGAAGTCATTCACCTTTGGCACTTTGCCTACAGGAGCATTAGACACTGACAAACAAAAAAATGAATAATGTCCTGGTTGAGGTGAAAGGTAGAAACTACCATAGGTAAGAATGATGCCTCAAGCCTCCTTGTTAATATGTAAAACCAGAAGGGTTCCTTGCAGGATAAGGCTGCCAGTTCATATACTCACCTAGCAGAGGTAATGGCAATGAGGAATACCATCTTGTGGGTGAGGGTAAAGTGAGCAAACACAGAGAGAACCAGATTTGATCCCACAGAGTAACAGGGAAATGAACAGTGGAAGTTACATGGGAGACTCCCTGTACATTGATTGACAATCAGAGCTTTAACAGCCATGTCATTAAAGGAGAACTATGGGGTCAGGGCTTTTCCCCATAGTTCTCCTCAGGGTAACGTGAGGACACAAACTAGCGTCCTCTCGTCACCCTAAGATCAGTATACCGCGAGCTACAGCTCGCGGTATACTGAGACGCCGGAGCGGATCCCGACATCGATGTTGAGATCCGCCCAGCTGCGTGAGTGACAGCTGGCTCTGCCTATCTACAGGCAGAGCCAGCTGTACCCTCCCCCGTCCGTTCCGCCAGTCAGCGCTGGTGGATCGGAGGGGGGAATCCAGCCCCTCCCCTGTCGCGGCAGAGAGCCGTGACAGGATCGAGAAGTGAGCGAACAACGGTATGTGTTCGCTCACTTCCCGATCTACTGAGCCGACCTGTGACAGTCTCATTGTCACAGGTCGGCTAGAACTATGAGGTGAGTGAAAAGCACTCCCCTCATAGTTCTCCTTTAAGGCCATTGACCCGGAAGCAGGATGGTAAATCGGTCCTTGCTACAAAATAGCCAGATATTCTTGAAGATCCTATGGAACATCCATCAGTCTTACCAGGTTGTACAATTACATCCGCCTGGGCCAATCCAGAGCAATGAGGATCCCCGTAATGCACCCCATCTTGATCCTGTGGAGCAGACGTGGAAGAATGTTTGAGGGGAGGAAAAAGATAGACCCCACAGAGTCACCAGATAATTCACTGCTTTAGAAAGAGGATCGTTGTATCTGAGAGACAAAATTACCCAGTTTATTGTTAAAGGTGTCCACCATCTGTGACACAGGTCATGGAACACATCCAGGTGTAGAGACCACTCCCCTGGATCCAGATGTAGTAGGCTGGGGAACTCTTCCTGACAATTATTTATGCCTGGCATGTACATGCTGCACAAGGCTGCAACGTAAAGCTGAAGTGAAGGCAAAGCCCCAAGTATTTATGAACCCAACTCGTGAAATGAGATGTAGTGTCAGGCAGCTGTAGGTGACCAAGTCACTGTAGGCAGGCAACAGGAACAGACTGAAGATTGGAGTTTCATGTGGCTCTTGCAAATGGGCTACTCACAAAGTGAGTCTTCAGATACAGGGCAAGCGCTGAGGCAATGCCACAGCTCTGGACTTCGAAAGTGCTCAGCAGCTACTGTAACTTTTACCAGTATTTAATGTCTGTAAAGCACCACAAGTAGAAAGACACTTACAGGCTAGCCCCGCAATCTCCAGTCCAGAGAGATCTGTGTACGGCACTCCATAATTATGCTGAGGAAAGGCCAATCCAGAGAGCTGCTATGAAGAGCCCAACTTTGGTAGCAGTGCAGGAGGAATCTTGATTGAAGAAGAAAATTGAAGGAAAAAGGGTAGCAAAAAAGGTACATTTTTCCAAGCAGAGCTGAAAAAACACATCTATCGTCTTAGGACACTTGCAAAAAACAGAGGCATAATGGGAGTAGGAGGAGTTATCCTGAGCTGGCTTACAGTTTTTTTGTGTGCCATGTTCAATCCTCCTGTAGCTGGCAATATAACCCAAAGGTGAATTACTTCCTGTGTCCCTCAATGGATGTGAAAGAAGTACTTGTTAATCTTGCCAGAAATACAGTGTCTTTGTCACTTCCTGTGAGCTAAAAAGACAGCATATAACTAGTCCACTCTTTCAACTATGTAATGGAGATAAACAAAGGCAGACTAGTTTGAAGTCCAGCCTATGTGATAACCAGCCTGTACAATGCCCCCATAGATACCGTAGAGAAGTATGGACATGAAGGGACAGGAAGTGTTATTTATACCAGGTGAAAGTAAAGGAAAAAAAGCCTGAAGAAAGAAAACTAATACAGACAACCCATCCAAGGACTGGTCAGTCGCAATATATTCCAATTGTTTGTGGTATTTAAATAAACCTGAATCATTAAAAGGGCCCATTACCACTTGTCAAGTTTTCAGCAGTAAACACATGACATATTTATGCCTTTCTAGTAGAAATTCTGTTCTTTAGTATGTATGTAGTTTACATCAATGTGTCGCATCTTAGTGAGTTTTTAAAGTACTGAAACATATAACCTTTTCGTGCTCTATTTTTGTCAAACAGCCCCCTTTAAATGTATACTAAATGCCCCAAAAACATTTATTTTTAAAAGATCATAAATCTGACAATTTTTAGTAACCAATAGAACTTTATAGCTTTTCCTCCTGACTGCAAGGTTTAATTTTTTTTAAAGCATTAACAGTGAAAGAATTAGCCCTCGTTCACACCTCTGCTATGCAACAATATAGAGGTGCTGCAGGATGCACTGCGGTAGGGCGTGCTGCTGTGAACTGAGCCTAACGGTTCTTTAAAGGAGAACTATGAGGTGAGTGCTTTTCACTCACCTCATAGTTCTAGCCGACCTGTGACAATGAGACTGTCACAGGTCGGCTCAGTAGATCGGGAGGTGAGCGAACACATACCGGCGTTCGCTCACCTCTCGATCCTGTCACGGCTCTCTGCCGTGACAGGGGAGGGGCTGGATTTCCCCCTCCCCGGTCCGATCCGCCAGCGCTGACTGGTGGATCGGACTGGGGAGGGTACAGCTGGCTCTGCCTCTAGATAGGCAGAGCCAGCTGCCAGTCACGCAGCTGGGCGGATCCCGGCACAATTGTCGGGATCCGCTTCAGCTGCAGCGTCTCAGTATGCCGCGAGCAGCAGCTCGCGGTATACTGCGGCGTCTCAGTATACCCCAAGCTACAGCTCGGGGTATACTGAGCCTAGGGTGACGGGAGGACGCTAGTTTGTGTCCTCCCGTTACCCTTAGGAGAACTATGGGGAAAAGACTTAACCCCATAGTTCTCCTTTAACTCATAGATTTTCTAGCCTGATTGACCAAGCCAGCTGACAAAGTGCATTCAGTCAGTCATTGCCTAATTCTAAACACATATAGAACCAAATTATCTGTAGAAGTACCTTAATTATTTACATCACTAGTGGAAACAAGGAAAAGGGTATGACTATGAGTAAACATAATTTAAACATAAACATATACATTGAAGCGTCTATTAACCATTGATGTTGGTCAAAAGAGCAGACCACTAAACAACTGTTTGTAGAACAATAGTGGCATAACCAACCATGCTTATACTTGCTGACCCTACATGTTGGAACCCTTGGTGCCATCCTGTAGGTGGATTTTAGTTAAGCATATCTGTTTACTACTAATCTGGAACTGGAATTACCTGTGTATTTAATTACAGAAAACACCAGGATCATCTAACGACCTGGAGATTACAATAGCCTGGTCAAACACATTCACTTTCTAAGTAGCCAGTATGTATATAATATGTCAGTATCAGATGTTCACTGCACCTTTCTCTCTGCTGTTCTACATCCACTGGACACAATGCGCACGGATGGCCTGCTCGTCACCTTGTATTTTACAGGCTTTTCACCTGCTGACTCTCCTTGTAGGGTGTCTTTAATGTCTTTTTTCTTCTTTCCAGTGGGTAGCTCTTTCTGCTCTTGTTTAAGTCGAAGTTCTTCCAACTGCTGCCTGTCAGGAAAATGTTTATAGCTTTTAATGAAGCAATAGTACAGTCCATATGAGAAAAAGGGCTGGAAAAGTGGGGTTCTAGGTACTATCCAAGGATGCTAGTGTTTTCACAAATAAATGTCAGTTTTGCGGTATCGAGGATTCATTCAGTATTTGAAGTAGCATGGCAGTGCACAGACCCTGTATATTGTACCTGTATATTAATGTTTCATTTGTATCAATGCTCCATAGAGAGTAATTTAGGTGATAAAGTTAGTTGAGAGCCATAAATATGTGTGCGCTATAGAGGGCTGAATCCAAAGAACCACTGTGACTACGTAGTGTAATTCTGCAGCATTTTCTGCATAAATCTGCTACAGTTAGCTGCTTAAAATCAACAATAAGCACAATGCTGTAGTTTGCACCCCATGAAAGTGGCAAAAGTCATACCCTGTTTCCCTGAAAATAAGACCTACCCCGAAAATAAGACCTAGCGTGTTATTTTGAGCCAAAAAAAATATAAGACAGTGTCTTATTTTCGGGGAAACACGGTATTTACTATACAGAGAGATACACATTTTAAGAATGGAAAAACTGTAATAAAATTGTAATACTCAATATATACCAATAACAAAAGATGAATATATACCAATAACAAAAGATGAATACAAGTCACGTTTGACTTCTGCAACTTGGTAACATGTAGCCCTCCCTCCTTTCACTGTAGGCTCTAGAAGGACAGTCTAGTTGGAGCTTTGTGGAAAAACTCAACAGAATACAGCCTTTACCAGCAGGGCTATCCTTATAATGAGGCGGCCTCAGGCAGTTGCCTCGGGAGGTATCTCATTTGGGGGGCAGGTGTGAGAGGGGGAGGCAAATGGTAATCCACAGCATCCCAGGTTGCTGAGAGCTCTTAGCAACCTGTGACGCCCTGTCCAGCTTCCCGCCCCCACCGCTCACTGACATCATCGGCTGGCAGGGAGCTGAGTACCACCTCCAAACCTGAACTCCCGGTAGATACAAAAAAACCCACATTAATGCAGTTCTGTATTCATTAAATGAGAACTATGAGGTTTTCACTCATCCTCATAGTTCGAGCCGACGTGTGACAATGAAACTGTCACACGTCGGCTCAATAAATCGGGAAGTGAGCGAACACATACCATCGCTCGCTCACTTCCCGATCATGTCCCTGCAGAGAGCCGTGACTGTCACTCACGGCTCCCTGCAGGGATTCCCCCCGCACCGATCCTCCAGCTCTGACTGGAAAAAACGGACGGAGGAGGGGGCGGGTACAGCTGGCTCTGCCTCTAGATAGGCATAGCCAGCTGTCAACCACACAGCTGGGTGGATCTCGACAGTAATGTCGGGATCCGTCCCGGCTGCGGCGGTCTCAGTATACCGCAAACTGTAGCTCGCAGTATACTGAGCTTTGGGTCATGGGAGAACGCTAGTTTGTGTCCTCCCGTGACCCAGAGGAGAACTATGGGGAAAAACACTTACCCCATAGTTCTCCTTTAATACATCATTAAATGTATTTCTTTAATACAAGCAGTACCTGAATTTGACTTGGTATCAGCCTCTTGATGACTCTTATACCAGCCTCTCTCAACTGGGGTGCCTTCTGGCTTTTTTTGGGATGCCTTTAAATTTTTTGCACCATGGTATGCATTTCCATGGCTCAGGCAAGCTGACCACCAGCACCATGGAGAGCCACCATGGAAAGCCATGATGCTAATTCAGGGAAGGCTGCATCTAGGACCTCCCTAGCATTTAGAAGAAGACAGAAGTGAAAGGGGCTTCTGATGTAAAGCGGACAACACCACATCATTTTTCTGCTTGTTTTTTTATTTTTTTGGGTGTTCTGCTCCTTAAAATCCATATAGATTTTATGGGGAACCACATGTCATTTTTTACATTTTAATATTTACTTCTTTTGACATTTTAGACTGGGCTGTCTCGAGATTTTGCATACTTTTAAAGGGTGCCATGAAGGGTTCTTTTTTATTTCAAAATGCTGGGGGGAAAAAATGTTAGGAAATGCTGTCCTTTACAGCAGAGCTCATGCTCAGAGGGAGAAGCAGAATAAGGAGACAATCAGTTGTGCTACAGTGTTCATGCTTTAAAAAGGAAAATACTGAGAGCAGAGTGTCAGAGATGAGGTCATCAGTCTGCAGCTTCTTTACTGTCAAATCACAGGATGGGGAGGAACAAGACCTGTGAGTGTTACTGAACTGCAACAGATAAAAACCAGGGCACATGTCGTGCTAGAAAGGAAGTGATGTGCAAACTGTTGGCGCTATATAAATCCTGTATAATAATAATAATAAATCTCACAGGACTAGATGGACAGAAATACCAGTCCATTGACAGGTAAAACAACTCTTATATGTGCATTATATCTGTGTGCTTAGCTGTTTGCTTGGAATTCAGCTTTAACTGATGCATAGATCATTATAGATCATGACATAGATCATGTCATCATTCATGTGTTCCTTGAGCAGCAATGTATCTATGTACAGCCCCACCGAAATGTCCTAATGTATGTAGGCATCAAGAGCAGGATTACTTTTTTCCAAGGACTTAACATTAGGGTTGCCAACTTTTCTTCAAGCAAAACCCGAACACTCTAGTGACACGCTGACATTTTTTGGGGAGAATGAGTCGTGGCTTATTTATATGTAAATAGCACCAACCATTCATATGTAAATATCCCAGTTGAGACTATTTTCAGTGGAGGGCCAGTAGCCCTATCTTAATTTTGGTTGCCCCTGTCTGCCTGACATCTTGTGTCTGGGTTTCTGCTGCCATGAAACCCGGACACAGCATTCAAAACCCGGACTGTCCGGATGAATCCTGGACAGGCGGCAACCCTACCTGACATGATCTATTGTCTCAGTATATTAAGACCTAGCACGTAATTCCACCTTAGACCCATGCCGAGATTGTAAATATTATCCTCTAAAATAAATGATTCTCTCTGTGACTTACCAGTTAATAGCTTACTTAATCCATCCCTAATACAAGATCTTACTTCCTTGTTGTAGTTACTCAATTGTACTGTTGTTGTAGGTATCAGATATCAAAGTCGGCATATATGAATACATGCTAAGCAAAGAGGGTGAGGCATTACCTAGCACACTCTTCTCTGGCCTTGGAAGCAGCCGTTTCCTGAAACAAGGAGCCGCTGTGTTTGAAGAACTTCTCATATTTGTCTCCTTTGCCTTGTGGGTAAATACGGTGATAGCCTCCCAAGTGGCTGTCTTCATATTTTTCAACTTGTTCCAACCAAACAGCCTGGGAAGTTTCAAACTGCTCACGTCTGTGTGTACAAAATGTGGGTAAATATGGCAGCAGACGTACAAGTATACTCACAGAAGCAATATGCATTCACATGAAATAGGAACACAGACATCTATGGAAAATTACATTCAGAATGTGTACTCTGCTAAAAAAACTGTGTAGTAGAGGTCAAGTAAAGTCACTCAAAGTGGGCAAGTTGCCCATTTGTAATTCTCATATTGCTTCTTAATTCATATTTTTTTAAAAGCAGAAAGGAAGGAAATAAATGCACACAAAGTCAAAAATATGCTAATAAAAAACTAAAATCTTATTTTTCCCCTGAGGTTTTTTCTATTTCACAATTATGGTGCAATTAATTGTAGTCAATAAGGAAAAATAAATGAAGGTGGTTTCTGGTAGTTTATATGGCTGCAATGGGCTCCTGAGGCTAAAAAGCTCCTTTCAACTATCCAGGACCTAATCCTATACCAAAAAGTGCTCTTCCCCCATTACTCTCATTATATTACATTATTTTCACAGAAAGAAAAAAATTAAACAGTGGGAAAGAAATTAAAGCAGAAGTACACAAACAACAACTTAGATGCACAAAAAAGGGATGAAAATAAATACAAAGGGCATCTAAACCACATAACCTTAAAGGCACTAAACATCTTCTAAATAAATAGTCTGCCTCAACTCAATTAGTAAAATGGAGAGTTTCTGCTTTGGTGTAAACTTGTATTATCAAGATTACTCTGCTCATCCCTACACCGTATGTAGAGAATTGATACAACTCCTGCTATTCATGAATGCTAACATATACCAAAAAAACTGCAGAAATTACTACCCTCTTCAGCTGGGATCAGGAATGTAGGCTGAGATTTTTCCCATATAAAAGCATAATTTTGTGTGCATTAAACAAAATGAGCACAAACTAAGATTTGTCATAAGTTTATAACAGATTTTCTTGGAATACCATTAAACGACTATTGGGATCCAGTGTAAAAAGGAAACCTAGGTAGGATTTTATAAATTATATTGCTTCATCTTAAAATCTGTGTATTCGGGTACACACCCAAATCCATTGGGTAGTCATTAGTCTTGAGAAGGGAGGAGGAAGTCATGGATGCCCATAAGATTGTGGGAGGGTTGTGGATGCTTATCAGAATAAAGTAGGTGTCATTCTTACTTGGTCTCCTTGGGGAGATTGCGCTGAAGTAAACGTTCCTTCACCCTGCGTTTATCTTCCTCAATAACCTTCCTTTTGTCACAAGCCCGGAGATTGATCAGATTAAGAGTATCAAACAGAAGGGCGTCCTTTACTTCTCTATCCAGGCGTGAATCGGTGGTAAAACTTGGTGAATGATTCACCTACACCAGGAAATAAATAAAATGGTATACACAAAAAAGTATTTTAAAATGCTAAAACCCAATTAAAGTAATTCTTTGTGAATCATTTTTTACTGGAAATAATAAAGATGTAAACCGAAAGCTGTGTTGTTGATTGCAGTGTAAAACGTGTAAAAACTGCCCTCTCATTATTCTGCCCTTTGAGCGACTGCGCTTTTCCGAGGCTACCTGGGTCACTCTCATGGGATGTCCATGGGGTGAGCATTTCCATCTACCCAGTTGGAGGTGCCTATTTCATAAGCACTATGTTTCAGACTTGTGTTTCATTAGTTGGTATATTGCGACTTTCACTAGGGGGAAAATTATTTGCCTTTAATATAGTAAAAAGGTTTGACCAGGCTATTACACAGATGTCTTTTTAATTTATATTTAAACCATAACACAAAAATTATATATATTGCATGTCACCACTGCTGTGACTGCATTCGTTTTTTTCTTTTTTAGGCACAGTAGAGAAAAATACTCTTCGATACTGCCACAAATTAAATGTTCTTGTAACTTCCTGTACACATACTAAAATATCGAACAATGGCATGTGCTTTCCCAGCTATCTTCTGTGAACTACAAAATACCTCCCTCAGTGTGATGGTAAGGAGAGGCAAAGAGAGGGAGAGGTGTTTGAGGTCCAAATCAGAAAAGCAGTTTAGAGTGACAATGCTAATCCCCATAGATAAAGTACCACTAGTGACTGTGAGTCACCATAACACAGAATGTGTGTTACAGGCAGGGTCTCCAGGGGAAAATACAGGAAACAAAGCCAGAAAAAGGGAAACTAATGCAGCCACCTCATCCAAGGACTGCTAAGCTGTAATCTATTATATTTTTGTGGTAAGGTGTGTCAGGATGAAAGAGAAAAAAATGGGCAAGAAAAGCTTACTGTAGGTCCATTGTGAGTTTATTACAAGGGTTACATAACTGGCTAGTGGTTAGGTAACACTACATTAGGAGGACTTAGCAATACAATTTGCATCCAAAGAACATTGAAAATATACATTTGTACAGCGCCTGTTCCATTCTTTGCAAACTGCAAACCAGATGTATTCTCTGGGACTCAGTGGCCACTTTGATCGGAGTATTCTACTGAAGCAATTGTTGTTCTCTCAAACCAAAAGCAGCCATATAAACAAGAGCACCGAGCAGCAAAGATCCAGGAGATACTGTGATACTTTCACAGGCAGGGCTGAATAATAAAGTTGCCAAACTATATATAAATATATATATATATATACACACACACACACACACACACTCTTTTTACCTCTAACAGCCAGGGCTTCAACTTTTTGTCCACGAGGATGTCAAAGCCAAGAATCTCAAAGCAGGCACTGCCAGCAATATGGTTTGGGAAGCAAGTCCGATAGTTGTGTTTCAGAATAGGGTGTGCAGAAATTAAAGTCTTGATAATTACGTCTTCAATATCCTCCCAAAGTCTATTTGAGTCATATTTGTTGTTTTCCAGCCATATCCATAATGTTGAGAGCTTCCTATTTCGAGAGAAATGGAAAAAAAAACATCAAGGCTTGTACATATAGGCTTTTTAAAGAGGTGTTCACCATGCATTTTGGATGCCCGTGATCCTTTCCCGATTCCTGATAGAGATAAGGCGTATTGAGCTTGATGGCTCAATAGGCTCAAGCAAGGCCATATCTTAATTACTGGAGCCTATAGGTACACACACTGAGGCACCTAAAACAACACCACTGTGATAGAATCACCTTTTTTACACAGTTGTAATTATAACAATGTATACATAAGCTCATTTAAGATGAATGTAGTTCTACTAATCATAGGAAAACAAATGTTACTATACAGGAAAAAACTATTTTCCTATGGTGCCTATAGGCCCATTTACTGGTAACTCCAACCCTGTACACAAACTTAGTTGTGCCCTGCTAAAATGAACATGGTTGGAGCCCCTGTATGGAGTCAAATTGTTGGTTTCATAGATAAAAATTATCGGGACCAACAACCTGAAAACATCTAGGGGTTTGCAGTCAAATCTTTTTGAGATTGCCCCCTAAGATACTTCTGCGTTTAGCACAAGAAAAAATTAGTTTGCATTGATGCTTGTGACCACCAAGTGTATGAGGTTCACTTTCACTGACTATGCCCAGAAGAATTGCAATGTGCTCATATGGTGTGCTCAAATTGTTCAAATGGGTGTGAGGATGAGCCTTATGGTGCAATACTAGCTTGCTCCTCTACAAGAGAGGTACCTTAACCAAGCTCAAATTTTATATACTGTATATTCAAACATTTTCTGGTTGATAAAATCTATTTTTGTCTCATTTCAATAATGGTTACTAGTTTGTATGTATCTGTTAAATATTTTCTTGTCACAATACCCACCTTTTGCTGCCTGTCACATCATCTCGTATAAAGTTTTCGCTGTGCTTGTTGATTGCATAATTGGTCAGGTGCATACAGACATCATCCTGTCAAAATTATATCAATAATTGATTTTAGTTTTTTTATAGGTAGACTGAAAGCATAATTCTAAAGATGAGGGCCACAACAGTGTCACACAGTTTACTAGGCCAAAAACATATCCATTAGGATCACATTTTATAGCACTTTTGGCAGGTACTCTTGATAGAAGACCACATAGTGTGATTTTGTTTGGGTAAACACATGTTAAATTAAAGAAAATTATACTAGACAAGCAAACAGTCACTTGACATCTTTAACTACTTACAGTCCGGAGCAATTTCATACTACAGTATTTGCACACACATGATAAGAACAGAATTTTTGGCTAGAAAACAGCTTAAACCCCCAAACAATTACATATTTTCTGAAAGCTGAGGCCCTGAAGAATAGAAAAAATGCTAGCGGCAATTTTCTGTGTTGCACAGTATTTGTGCAAATGTTTATTAAACCAGTATTTTTAGGATAAAATACACTGAAATGAAATGTAGTGCACAGAAACAGAATATAATACACAAATATTTGGTAAAATATAAAATATGGGGTCATGTTGGGTAAATAGATACCAAACATGTCAAGCCTTAAAATTGCATGCGCAATTGCATAAAACTACAAAATTTCCCATAGGTGACGCTTTAAAAGCTTTTACTGCTCATTGGTTTAGTGTAACTGTGATTGATGGCCCTAGAATTATTGCTCTCATGCAGACATTTGCGGTGATATGTAACATGTGTGGCGCAATCATCGTTTTTTCCAGATAGGCGCAAATAGCAAAGAGGATGTGGCAGGTCCTCTTTATGTAGACATTAGGGGTCTATTAGATTTAAGTTACGGCACCCTTTAAAAGTATGCAAAATCTCTAATCACACAAAAACCCACATCAAAGTGCCCCTTCAAATCAAGATTCCCCCTTCACATTAGGGTCATCCTTTGCTTCAGTAGCCCCCTTCACATCAGGAACCCTCTTTCACATCAAAAGCCCCTCTTTTATACCCCACCTTTAACAGAGTTCCCCCTTTACATCAAGAGCCCCCTTCACTTCAGTCTTCACTCCCCCCATCACATCACAGTCCCACTACCACAAAATGTTGAGGCACCCCTGAGGAAGCCAGAAGGCACACCAGGGTACCAACCCAGGCTGAGAAAGGCTGCTCTAAGCAGTTTTCAATTTTTTTTTTACAATTTGGAATATGTTATATGGTCAATTAATACCATATAACAATACCATTTTATAACATAATTTGTTAACCACTTGCCGTCCACTCGTTGCAAAAAAAACGGACGGATGGCAGACTCCCATTAAAGCATCTTCCTCCTTGCTGACCTCCCTCCGTACTGTTAATGCGGAAGTGATGTGTATTACATCACTTTCACATTCACCTGTCAGTCACCTGGCTGCTATAGCCAGAGAGAAGAAGCTGATGAAGCAGATCTCTGCTTCATCAGCTTCTTTGGGCGTCCCCAGGTGACATTAGGGGTCTTAGAGACCCCTAATGTTTCTATCAAGAGGACCTGTCAGTGTGCCTTTGCTATTATATAGGGGGATTGTTATCCGCGAACTTCGGAGTGAGAGCAATCATTTTAGGGCCATCAATCACTGATAACACTAAACTGATGAGCGGTAAAAGCTTTTAAAGCGTCGCCTATGGCCAATTTTGGGTATTGCCGTTTTTTGAGGTTTCGCGGGCGCGCGCAATTTTAAGGCTTGACATGTTTGGTATCTTTTTACCCGAAGTGACCCCATCTTTTATATTTTACCCAAAAATTGGGTAATAATAAATGTTTTATAATTTAACCGCTTGAAGACCAGTTGTTTAGACCCCCTTCCTGGCCAGGCCATTTTTCAGTATTTAGCGCTGCGGTACTTTGACTGACATTTATTCCGTCATGCAACGCTATACTGAAATAAATTTTATACCATTTTTGGGGATAGATAGAGCTTTCCTTTGGTGGTATTTAACCACCACTGGGGTTTTTTTATTTTTTACTATATTTTGGAAAAATTACCGGGAAAAAAAAACTTTTCCCCTATATTAACTACCTCCCGGCCGGCTGTTGTAAAAAAAACGGCCGGCCGGGAGCTCTCTAGATCTGAGCGGGCGTCTTTAGATGTCCACTCAGGCACGCCCACTCGCGCGCAGCGCTGAATACTGAAAAATGACCTGGCCAGGTCAACACCGCGGTTTAACACCGCGGACTTCAAGTGGTTAATATTCTGCTCTGCTTAATGTAACAAGGCTCTTTACCAGGTTGCTGTGACTGGGCTCTGTGTAAGTCATAGTTGCAAAACGTGCCAACCCTTCTTTGTAGATGAAAATGCGCAGGGGGTCACAAGATGTCACAAGCACATATATCCGTAAATCGAATTTGTATCCATTGACGAGGAATGGCTGTACAGAAAAACCAAATGTTAATGTAGGTTTAAGCCCGAGATCTTCTATATCACAGGATAATATAAATCTATAGAATAATACCAAGTACTAAAACACAGATTGTAGACAACAGGACTTGCTCATACGGGCATCATATGTGAAATTTCTGTAAATGCTTGAAAAACTCTTTACTTGTTTTGGCAAGATTTGAGACCTGTTACCTGTTTGACATACACAGAAAATGTCTCAGAAGCTCCCTGAAAGCTTGTCAGCAGCTGATATGTATTAATAATAATGATAATATTATTATTATTCAGGATTTATATAGCACCAATAGTTTGTGCAGCGCTTTACAATATATGGAAGACGTTACACAGTTACAATACGAATCAAGACAAGAAGGCAAGGAGGGCTTTACTCCCAGGAAATTATGTCATGAGGGTTTTTTTCAGATTTGGTTGGTTTATGTGGAAGATTTGGTAAATTTGTACAGTTCCTTGCACTATCACTGGAAGTGCAAAACAAAACATCTACCAACAGCTCATTGTTCATTCAGCTGACCCAAAGTGCAGAAGGAGTTCGAGTCAGCCAATCCAACATCTGGATTGGCTGAGCCGAACCTCCAGCAGGCTACTCACTGCTGTTCGGCCTATTCTCATAGATGCCGAACAGCAATGAGTGAATAGCCGAATGCCGCTCAGCAGCATTCGGCTCGACTATTCTGTTCGGTACCTCTGGTGGTACCGAGCACAATAGAAAAGCAGTCAAAAAAAGTTCAACATAAAATAGAAAACGATTGGGCGGAGCTAGCAGTGACAGCTAGCTCTGCCCAACTGTTTTCTATTGGCCGGGACCATCATTACAATGAGAGCTTGTCGGAGCCGGCAGGGATATGAAAGTCGGCTCTGCCAAGCTCTCATTGTAATGACAGATGGGCGTCCCTGGTTACCTGGTAACCAGGGATGCCCATCTGTCATTACACACTGAGAACCCGTCGGAGCCGCAGTGATTTTACATTTTTTTATATCACGGCGGCCCCACCGGGTTCTCAGTGTGTAATGACAGATAGGCATCCCTGGTTACCAGGTACAGGTTACACACACAACCCGGTGGAGCCGCAGTGTAATGTCAGAACGGTGTCCCTGGTTACCTGGTAACCAGGGATGCTGATCTGAATCTGCAAGTGGCCGGAGCCAGCCGTGAGATGACGGCTGGCTCTGCCCAGCTGTCAGTAGCAGGCTGTCAGCCGGCTAATGGCAGGCCGTTCGGCCAGCTTCGAATTTCCCCTGGGCTCAGTCGAGCTGAAGCGTATGCCTTCGGCTTGACTGAGCCCCTCGGACAACTTCGGGAGCTGTACGTGCTATAGTGAATAGCCCTTACAGCAGCCCTGAACCGAAGGGGTACTGGGGCCGAAGCTAGCCGAAGGATCAGCCAAAGCTACGGCTAGATCCTTCGGCAGCTTTGTGAATAACCGCCTATGTTTTTTTCAGCCCTGACCATACTAAATAAAATACATTCAATATGTGCCATTATGAATTACATTGAGGGGCCATTCAGATTTGTGGGTTGGGGTACGTGCGTTACTACAATGCAAAGTGTCTAGTGTTGCGATGACATTCATTTCGAAAGGCACCCCAATGCTCTAATCCGATGCACCACACCTGCACAGCAGTGCACCACAACATATGGTGATGCATTGCTGAGCACTGCATTGGAAACACTAGTACATGCCCATTTTTTTCTGTGTTGTGGTGCATTGGCAGCCTATTCCAAATAACTGGGCTACTGCAGATGATGGCACTCACTAATGCACTGCAGCACAATGCAGACAACTAAATCCGGCCTTAAAAATTTGGAAACTGCTGTGAAAGTTGTAGGAATACTTCACAAAGCCTTCTTTCAATTCCCCATGTGAACTATTCCATACTTAATTTTCATCAGTACAATGTTTACTGTGGCAGTATACTATATACAGAACAGGTCATCTCTGTTACCTTGGAAACATACTGCTGACAGATCATATGTTCTCCATGTTTGATGTCCTTCATGTTTTTAGAAAGAAAAATGCCCCTGCCTTGGCAGCCACTGTCAGGTTTGCAAATATACGTTTTGTTCTTCTTTGTGCGGCAGTAGGCCTGGAAATCACCATAACTGCATTAAAAAGAAGAAGACAAGTAATAAAACTTTAAAAATGAAAAAACTTGTAAAAATGTTTATATATGATAAACAAGAGATTAAGGTACCAATAGACCTTTGAAACCTATTGAAAAGCCCAGAGTTTTTGACATTTATACTGTATATCACAGTTATTTGCAGTACTGGGGGTCCCTGGTCCAAATCCCGGTCAGGTCACTATCTGCAAGGAGTTTGCATGTTCTCCCTGTGCTTGCGTGGGTTTCCTCCGGGTTCTCCGGTTTCCTCCCACACTCCAAGAAAGAAATACTGGAGGGTTACTTGGCTCCTGTCTACATTGGCCCTGTATGTGAGATAGAGACCTTAGATTGTAAGCTCCTTGAGGGCAGGGACTGATGTGAATGTGCACTGCATGTAAAGCACCGTGTTGGTGCTAGATAAATACCTGTAATAAATACAAATAAATAAATATACAACTGGGTTACAGACAACCTCAGTAGACCAGTGCCTGAACAATGTGGCCCTCACAAGGATGAACATTTTACATTTTTGGCAGACCCTTCAGGGTTTGTTCACACCATAGGGCAGTGCGTTCCAGTCAGAATCGGACCGGAACGCACTGTGGCCGGCTCACTTTTTTGCTGGGCTGGAGGGGAGGTGGTGGGCCATTGAAGTGAATGGCACCGTAGCCACGCCCTGCGGCCGCAATGTGATCGCAAGGGACATTGTGCCTGCAGTGCGATCAAAATAGTGCTTGCAGCTTTGGCCCATGAAACATTGCTTATGCATACTCATAAAACCACTCGTACTCATGTGACAAGATTGGAAAGCCAAGATTAGAGCTGCAGCTAACGATTATTTTCGAAATCGATTAGTTGTTGCAGCCCTAGCCAAGATCTTAGATTAGTGATTTTTTTCTAGTCTGACCCTATATCTATTAAAAGCTAAAAGGTCTTATTTTCAAGGAGTTCTATTACTTTATAGAATTTGCATATACGCATAGTATGAAGCTCCAGTACCTTACTCCTGTACTTCAATGCAACTGTATGGCAGATGAAGTTCAATGTCGATAAATGCAAAGTAATGCATTTTGGAGTTAAAAATAGGCAATTTGGCTACAGAATTATGGGTATGCCACTAGGGAAGTCAGTATTGGAGAAAGATTTGTGGGTCACTGTAGACCACAGATTGAAGAATAGCTTGCAGTGCCAGGCTGCTGTAAACAAAGCAAGTAGAGTCCTGTCTTGTATTAAGAAGGGAATGTATTGCAGGGACAAGTCTATAATTTTGCCACATTACAGATCACTAGTTCGGCCGCATCTGGAGTATGCGGTCCAGTTTTGGTCACCAGTACTCAGAAAAGATGTCCTTGAGCTGGAAAAAGTCCAGCGGAGGGCAACCAAACTCATTAAGGGGTTGGAGGACCAGAGCTATAAAACAAGGCTGTTAAAATTAAATATGTTCTACTTGTAAGTAAGGAGATTAAGGGGGGGCATGATTTTCTTGTATAAAATGTTCAATGGTGAAGGCAACATTAATAACAAACTCTTTACGGTTAACCCCATAACAAAGACTAGAGGCCACCACCAAAAATTGCAAAAACGAGGCGCAAGGGGTTCTTCTCAGTTAGAGCGGTTAAGGTCTGGAACTCACTGCCACAGGCAGTGATTTCAGCAAAGAGTGTGGAATCATTCAAGAAACTCTTGGACGATTTCCTTGGAGACCATAACATACAGGGGTACAGGTACTGCTGAGAGCAAAATCACACATGGACTCATGCACACGCACACACCTGCTCAAACATACATACATACACGCAATAGGTTGGAAATTGATGGACTTATGTCTTTATTCAACCTCAAATACTATGTAACTATGTAATGCACAAAAATAAAAGTTCCAGTAACCCATGGCAAGAATACTGTATCAGCTAGTGATTTACACCAATAGAAAAATCCTTTTCTGTGGACTGCTACTTCAATACTTCGTATTCTACTAAATTCTTTACTAATTGCCCCACTCGGTACACTGTGATACCTACTCAGCAGGAAGGCACCATGTTCGTGGAAAGATGTTGTATTCTTTTGGAAACAATTTTAACAGTCTGTTCATATTTCTTGCCAGTAAGTCCTTTCTACATATCTCATTCATTCCCGGGAAGTGATTGATTTTCTGTTTGTGAACAAAAATATACATTTAAATAGGGGAAATATTTAACCATTAACCAGGAGTCACTTAAATCACTTTGTAATGGACTTACTTGAAACCTCTTCATCTCCATTACACGCTCCAGTGAGACAGAGCAGTCTGTCCAGTAGGCCGTCCACTCCTCATCATCTCCAACTTCCTTCAGTCCACAAAGTCGTGAGGCACGCCGCACTGAAATACAAGCATAAGAAGAGAAGACAAGCCGACATAAGTAAACATAAGGCAGCATAAAACAATGCACTGAATCAGTTTGACAGAAAACAATATACTGTACCACTTTGAAAGGATGCACTGACTTACCACACTCATACTTGCAATTTGTTAAGTTGATACCAATTAACCTACAAATAAGAAGATAAACGATTTGTTGAGATTTCTGAAATGTTGGTAGTACAGAGAATATGCAATAAAACAAATGCTATGAACTTAATTACAGCTACCGTGTTTTGCTTTTTAATGATAGTCATAACTTTGAACAAATGTGTTGTATGATGGCAGGAGACACACACTTGCAACAGTTATACATATGCATTCTTTTACCAATGCAATCTTGCTGATATTAATCTTGGCTATTTAGGAAGAAAGAACAAAACTGGTAATGTACTGTATGTTGGCAACATTCTATGATAATCAGTGTTGAAGAGTAGAGGATGTTGCTTCTCCATGATAATATTGCTTTATTATGATTTTTTTTGTCACTATACTGTTGCTATTTTGTTGGCTGAACAATTCATAGCCTAGGTCTTGTACATACTAGCTTCAGCTTTTATATCAGTAGAATGTACATCAGGCTTTACCAAAGTATTTTCAAAGCTTTCAGACAACTTCCAACAACTTTGTTAAAGCTTTTAAAACACATTTCAATTTCAGTATGGGGGGTGTCAAACAAGATCTTAATCAGAGTGTTGATTGTTACCTTAAATATGCCAGTAGCAGGTCTCACAGGCTCTCAACTAGATTTTAAGTGTTAAAGGTTAGGATAGGACAAGTACCTGAATGGGGGCGAGGCCCCTTAAGGCTAGCGGGTGCCATCTTTCCCTACGGTGTCTAAAGTTACCATGTCAGCTAAAGAGTTGCGGAGCACTTTGTGGCAGGCTGGACCCAAATGCAGAGCTCAATATGGTGCTGGGAGCCTGGTTAGCGGGAGGTGCAAATACAGGGGCTGGGGAGAAAGTACAGAGAGACAGAGCAGGAAGCGGGCAGAGGCTGGTACCTGATTAGTACAGCTGACAGTGCACGAGAGAGTGGGAAGGGCCATGTAGTTAGAGGTATTTAAAGGGTCTGAGGAGGCAGGGGCAGGGAGTCTCGCATTGTGTGAAGAGAGCTTTCCCATTCACCCACCCAAGTATTTGTCTGTTTCTATGCAGGTCAGTTTTGGCTTTATGTAGCAACCTGCTGGACAGATCAGGCCACCTCGCAAGGCGAATTTGGAACCCTCTCAAGGCTCTAAGTGCGAACAAGTTCTGAATGTACGGCAAATTTCTAGTACTGCAGGCAGAAAAAGTGTGGAGATATTGCAGGTTAGGCACGGTGGGTGTCACCCAAGAGGAGCATCTCATCCTCCCTTTCATAATTAACAGGTGGGGGCTAAGTTGCAGAATGGCACCCAAGTAGGCCATGAATATATTATGTAGTCTCCAGATGCATACAGGCCTCGGTGGAGTGTGAGGTATCCATACCCCTGCTACCCTCTACTCCCTGCTGCCCCAAGGCCAGGCCACGGTTGGCCTTGTGGGAAATCCGTCCCAGCTCATGTCTATACACTGTGTATAGAATGTGATGTTTTACGGGACCTTAGACCTCGGCAGAGGAGGGGGAGAGAGGCTCCAGGGACCAGTCTTAGAGCAAGCCGGCTCTGCAGTTTAGGTGAGTATAACTTTTTTTAGCACCTAGACAAAAATAAGCAGTTACACCTTGCAGTACGGGGGTAACCTCATTACAAGGTTTAATAAAAGTTTTTCCCAGAGTTCTACTTTAAGATCTGTGTTTTACCTTACCATACTGAAGGATAGTTTAAAGGCTTCAACACAGCTGATTGAAGCTGGCTGAAAGCTTTACAAATGCTTTATAAAAGCCAGCTGCATATATTGCTCTCAGCTGAAGCCTGTGTGTACAAGAGGCTGGGTACAAGCCTCCTGTTCAGATAAACCCTATAGTATGTGTTATACTAATGATGCTGCCTTATTGATCTGTTTCATACTTGGCACCTATACAGTTTTGATATACTTAAAGGCTGAGTTCACCTGTTGCAAAAATTAAAGAAATGCACAATTAATAATATATAAAAAAAATGCATTTCTTTAATATTTGCAGTCAAGCCTGGAAAGCATTCCAATGGTGAACACTCGATCACAGCTGCAAAGCTCAGGCTTCTGCACATTTTCAAACTGGCAGAGCTCTTATGGAGGTACGGAGTTTCAGTTAGGAGAAATGGGGGGAAGGAAGGCTGGACTTTAAACTGCATTAAATCATCCTCATATGGCGTCCAGTTGTCCTTGCTCTAGGAAGAGTTGCACATATTCCCGCATCTACCTAGAGTTAGGATGGCTGGACCTCATATGAGGTGATTTAATGCAGTTTGAAGTCCAGCCGTCCTTCCCCATTTCTCCTAACTGAAACTCTGTACCTCAGTACGGAGCTCTGCTTGGGAGAGAATGTGCAGAAGCCTGAGCTTTACAGCCCTGATCAAGTGATCACGATGGCAATGCTTTCCAGGCTTGAATGCAAATATTAAAGAAATGCATATTTTTTATATATTATTAATTATGCATTTTTTTCGATTTTTGCAAAAGGTGAACTTATCCTTTAAGCAGAAGTAAGTATTTCCTGAACTTGACCATAGTAGATGTGTGGTAGAATGCCTCGCTACTCCATGTTCCCCAGGGGAATATCCTGTTGTATCTGATTAATAGTTTATAAACATTAGACATAAACTTGACATATAGTACAATATCTTCCTTCACTGTGTATGAGAAAACTACATTTCAAGAGACTTTACACTTACTCATGGAGATGCCCTTTCAGTGATTTGCAGACCTCACACAGTTAACGGCCATACCTGCGTCTTTTCTTCTTTTTCTTTTTAGATTGGTCCATTATATCCACATTTCCCTCAGTCACTGTGTCTTGTGCAGTATTCTTCAATTCCTCTCCATCTTTGCTTTTCTCTTGCTCCACAAGAAGTTCAAGGTCAGCTTTTGAAGTTATAGGTTCGTCATCTAATGCAGAGGTCCCACCTAAACTCTCACTGTCAGACACTTCTTCATCCTCCTCCTCATTATCTTCAGAGTCCTCGTCTGAATCACTGCTAACGTGGGATTCAACTTTCATAATTTCTAGCAATACCTAAGCTGTAAAATATGGACATTTTATAAGCTAAAACATCAGGAAATTAAAATGTGACACACACACCCTGCCAGACATCACAGCCAGGTCCTGCACTCTGCATACTATGTTGCAGCTGAGCAATACAGCATGGTTCAGGGCCCACCTCGTGAATGTACAATGGCACTGCACATTAATAAGATCGTTACTCTGCTTTATCTTCCTATCAAGAAGCCCTCAAAGTTAGAAACACAGTACTATTGGTTACACTTAAAGCAGAACTCCGGGCAAACTTTTTCTTAACCCTTGCAGTGGGGCTACCTCCACACTGCAAGTGTTAAGTGCTCCTTTGTGCCTAGGTGCAAAAAAAAGCAAAATTATACTCACCCGATTCTCGGAGCTGGCTTGTTGTTAGACGGGTCCCTGGAGCTTCTCTCCTCCTCTGCTGCAGCTGTCTAGGGATCCTCAAGTCATCAGGTTCTATACACGGTGTACAGGACGTGAGGACACAGAGGGACATTCTATTGCTGCAGTGAAGGAAGAGACAGGCTGGAAGGAGCTCTGTCAAAGCCAGCAGGCTCTAAGGATCGGGTGAGTATAAAACATTGTTATCTTTTGCACATAGGCACAAAAGAGCACATAACATTTACAGTGAGGGGGTAGCCCCACTGCAAGGGTTAACAAAAAGTTTGCCTGGAGTTATACAGTATGTAGTAGCGCTGTTTAAAGCAGTACTGCCTGGTAGGTAAAAGTACTGTGACTCTCTCTTTGCTCGACTGGGTGCTATTGTACAGGGGACTAAAGAAAGCTGACACCAAGACACATTACTTTTACAAGTACTTTTATTAACTGTATGTAAAAATACATCTAGTTATTTTACTGAATCCATAACTGGATCAAATAATGGCTCTTGTTCAGCTTTAATTATGTTGTTATTATTATTAATATTATTATTTTAATTATTAATAATAATAATCTATTTTATAACACCATTATTTCTTGTGCTGCAGTACATAGTAAGTAATACAGACAAAGGAGACCATTACAGATTATACAGATAACATTTCAGATGACCAGAATTGTATAACATCATGTGTGTACAGCAAGAGAAATTAGGAAAGAGAAACCTGCCCTGTGAGCACACCGCCTGGTGTCATAGTTTATGTCTGATCGTTCAAACAGCAGCTGTAAAATGTATAAAGGTACAATGTTACATGATAATAATAATAGTAATAATAATAATAATACTAACTGAGATTACAGAAGTAACAAATAAGAGCAACAATAATAATATTACACACGTTTTTCATTTATGTGCAAGCATCGGTTGCTCACTTTTTTAGATAATGTGTCTGGTGGTCTAATCCTGGTTTATTGTAATTGTTCTAATATTAAAATCATAAAGAGATAATAGAAATGTATCTAATACAGATAAATTGTGCTGCCGTGTAATAATTAACCCTGTGAGTCAATGTCACTGAGCCCAGGATCATTTATAAAACTTTTATCCTATACACAGAGCTGATGCTGTGTTTCTAGGGGCTGCATTCCTGGACTTCAGACATCACACAAACCTGATTTTAGTTATCAGTTTCTTCTCTCAATATAGCAACTTGCCCGGCCTGGCTTCCTCCAAAGGGCAACAACTGAGCGGTGACCATGGAAACCAGTATAGCCTGCTGCCAGGAGAGCATGGCTGATTGGATAGGTGAGAGATATTTAAATATTGGCTGCACCCTAACTGGTTAGTTCAATGTTTTGTTTAATAAAGACAAATGACTACTCATCACCTGTGCTCCAGGTATCTACACTAATACAGACTGGGCCGGATTACCCACAAGGCCAACCGAGGCCAGGCTTTGGGGCGGCAGGGAGTAAATGGGCAGCAGGGGTGTGGAATTCCTATCTCCCGACGCCCGGGACATGGAGTTCCGGGAGCCGGGAAGGTACTTGTTTACTACATTTAGCCCAATCTGACATTGGGTCAGCAGAGAGAGTAAATCCAGCCCTGAATACAAATGTAATTTTTTTATTTTGCTGGGTGCATGATGTATACTATAACATGTATTGTTTTACTGAATACTGCTTTTAGTTTTCATTCAGCTGTAGCAAGAGTCCTGCTGGTTCCTGCCACTGAATTCACAGGGGGATACAGATAGTTGCAGATGCTAATCCTGTACAAGGCAATGACAGGCTGACAGTGACTGCAGCTGTCCGTTGGTGTGTAGATGTTATAGGACAAGGAGCGATTACCAGCATTTTGGGACAGATGATTACCTCTGGACGCAAACAGCTTTCATCAAGGGGCGCTCATCTGCTTTTGACCACAGGTAATCGTTCCATGTGCGGTTACAATTGCAGAATGTACTAATTCTAACAATGGCAGAATGTATTATGTTAAAGTGACACTAAACTCAGATATTAAATCTTAACGCATTCAAGTACCTTCACTATTAACACAAATATACAGTGTCCTATTTGCGTATGACTCAGCCTTAGATCCTCAAATCATCTCTGAATTGGTGCTGACACGGTCCTTCCTTCTGGAGGGTGGCTACTTTTGTTCCCCATGGTCCCTGTGTGTGTTGTAAAGTAGTCACCACTCCAAGCTTGCTCCTGTGATGGACTACAATCTCATGTCTAGTTTACTAATTTGTATTGAGGTTGCAGTCCATCACAGGAGCGAGCTTGGAGCGGTGGCTACTTTACAACACACACAGGGGCCATGGGGGACAAAAGTAGCCCCCCCTCCAGAAGGAAGGACAGTGTCGGCACCAATTCAGAGATGACTTGAGGATCTACAGCCGAGTGATACACAAATAAGATACATTTTTGTTAATAGTTAAGGTACTTGAATGCATTTTTAAGATTTAACTCCTGAGTTTAGTGTCACTTTAATTTTGCTGGGAAAACAAGTGGTGTAGCACACTACACATATCATCAATTCAGCGTAATTACGCTGGTTAAAGCTGAATCTGCACCGGCTGACCTGACTCAATGTTCTTAAAGGAATTTAGGGTCACTAGGGTCATACAAGAGCTTTTCATGACTGCTTTTAATGGAAAACTCAAATCACCTCCCAAGACATGGGTGAGTGACCCCTATTTATTTCTAGGCTGATCTGATGCAATGCACAATTGGGCAGACACAAAGCGCTGTATATGAAGTCACTTGACAGGCATCACTTTACCATGACCACTCACATTAAGTTCTTGGGCTCTCTAATTAACAAAATTTACGCACAAGCATGTAATCTGATCTTCCTTATTGGATGGAGTTTGACAGAACTATTTAGGTAGGTCCTCACTCTACATAGTTGTTGACAATTTGTTTTAATCTAACGGATCAAAATATATCTGTGTATTATAATACAGGATGTATATAGTGCCAATAGTTTGCACAGCGCTTTACAATATAAGGAAGACATTACAGTCACAATACAATTCAAGACAAGATGGCAAGGAGGGCCCTGCCCGTGAGGGCTTACAATGTATGACCAGCTTACAGGATGAGGAAAGCATGAGAAGAACGATGAGAAGAAGAAGGCCTCTTCACGCTGGAAATCTAGAAATCTTCTGAACCTGAATATAAATGAACAATATGGACTGGGATTTAACCAGAAACACTGACACCAAGTGACACAATTTCTGTGGTGATGGGTAAGGGAAGTTGCTGGTGATACTTTCTAAAAAAGGACTACACAGAAAAATGCAGCCATGCAACTGTTTAGTGATTAAATAAATAAACATTTTTTACTGAACCTATCAGTGTTTTAATGATAATTCTCTATAGGGTGCAGACACATAAGATAGTTATGGAGGCCCAACTTCATGGAGCTATTCTGCTACTAATAGGCTGTTTTTAAGTATCAGCATTTTAACTGAAAGGAGCTACAACTTTAAAAGACAACTGTTTATTTTCCTTTTAAAGTAGGTCTAAAATCTCATATAGGCTTTACAATATTTTATGAAAAAAGCATGGCAGTTGTTTACTTAGGGATTCCATTAGACATTATTTAAATAATACACAAACTAGGCCCCTTTTTTCCAGAGGTCTTACAATGCTGGAAACATGAGTTAATTTATTAAAAGTCAATAGGCTGTTCACTTTGCAAGAGAATTTTCACTTAGCTTAGTGAATGGGTGTAAAAACCATTTTGAAAATAATACCTAATCATGTGCAAGGAAAATAAAAAAAAAATATTTTTGCTTGCACATAGTTTGATGATGGATCTCATCAGAGCTTCACCTCATTCACTAAGGTAAGGGAAAATTCCCTTTCAAAGTGAACAGTCTTTTTGACTCTAGTAAATCAACCCCTCTGTGTCTTACAGGCTCCCCATAAAGACATCTCATTTCAGCTATTTTTATGACCATGTTTGGAAGTCAGCCTACCAATGTTGCCACGGTGTGCTAAGTGTGGAAAAGAGAATTGGCTCTGACCCTGACCAAGGAAGACTGGGAAATGGTCAACACCATGATCCATAAAGGTTTTCTTAAGCAGTGGTTCTCAACCTGTGTAACCTCAGGACCCACATTTGTCCTTGGTCATTAAGTCGTGACCCAAGTCGCACTGCAATGAAACGCACGGCATTGCTGTACTACGCGTTGCGGTTCAGGCGATCAAACTGTGGGTGAGAGCCATGTGCATTGCTTGTACAGCTCCCTTGCGGGCCCTGTAAATGTGTTGGGAGCCAGAATGTGACATCACTCCAGTCCAGGCACCTCTACAGGGCATGAGAGGGAGAGGGAAGCAATGCACCTATGGATGGAGCTCCCTCATGGCCATACGACCAACCAACCCCACCTCAAGCTGACACTCTGCGCCAGACAGCATGTTTTGAATGCTGCTTGGTGCGAGAACTGACTGTGTTGCGCTAGGAAGAGTCTGAGAAGGCTTGGAAAAGTGGAAGGCACGCAGCGACCCACTGAACATGGGTCGCGTCCCACCTTTGGGTCACGACCCACCAGTTGAGAACCAAGGTTCTAAGGCTGGGTTCACACCTG